ATTGTGTATGATGTTACTCTGGGTAGAGTGACCTAAATGATACTGCATGTGCTTGCTCTGTGTCTGTCTCTGTGTCCCAGTCCGTCTGTGTCTGTCTCAAATTGATTTTCCTAGCTTGGAAATACATACTTCTTTATATATATATATACTTTTTTTGGGGGGGGGGGGTCCGGTCATGGGGCCTCAACTCTGGGCCTGGACGCTGTCCCTCAGCACTTCAGCTCAAGGCTAGCGCTCTACCAGTTAAGCCACAGCGCCACTTCCGGCTTTTTTTCTTTTTCCTTATGTGGTGCTGGGGAATTGAACCAAGGGCCTCATGCATGCAAGGCAAGCACTTTACCACTGAGCCAACTTCCCAGCCCCTTCTTAATATATTTTTATGTCTCCCTTTTTCACCTTTTATCCTGTTTTTGTGATCTAATGTGTATGTTTCATTCATTTTATTCTAGGCTTGCTTTTGGTAGTTTTCATTATGTGCTTAGCTAGTAATCTTTTATTCTTTAATAAAATTCTTTGCTGTTAATCCCAGTAGACATTGTAATTTTCATCACTGAGGTGATTTTGCTTTTTTAAATATCTCATATCTCTACTGTGCATGCTCCCTCTTTCTTTACCTTCCTCAATATATGAAGTATTACTTATATTTTAATGAGTTTGTTCTGTAATTCTGTCATCTGTTATTTCTAGCTTTGTTCTGTTGCCTGAATTTTCTCTTCATCATGGAAACTTTTTACTACTGCTTTTGTACTCATGGCAATTGTCTTAGGCACGTTGATTTTAAACTGCTGGACACTGACATATACATATAACATGTATAGATATACACATAACACATGTGTGTATGTATGTGTGTGTGTGTGTATATATATATATATATATATATATACTTTATCATACATATTGGGATATATGGTTTTAGCTTTACAGTGGAACACAACTAAGTTACTTGGGCACATTTTAATCTTTTAAATCTGTTTTCAAGTCTCACTTTTCAAAGTTGGTAGAACCAGCTGAGCCTTTGTACATTTGACCCCACACCAGGTCATAACCTTCCCATACTCTTCCCGATGCTCTAGCTCTTCCCAGGTACACTTCCCTGCCTGATTAGAATGTGAACTGTGTCCAGTCTCAGTGAGTGCCATTGGTTGATCTGAGACTCATTAGCTGCCCTGGGGTAGCAGTCCAGTCTCTCCTCTCCAGGAATCTGAAATTGTCCTACATTCAGTTTCCAAAGGTGACTGGAGTTTTGGGGCTCTCCACATTGTGAGGTGGGAAGCACTCCAGAAAAGAAGCTGGGGCAGAGATCTCTCAGTGTATGGGTGAGCTCTGTCCAAATGCTGGTCAGGAAACTTATTTTGAAGTATCGTTTTTTAGTTATTAGAACAACAGAGGAAACCAAGTTCCCGTTCTAGTTTGTATAAAAGTAAAATGACATACTTGACTTTTTTTCCCCTCTCAGTGCTGAGGTCTGAACTCAGGTTCTTGCACTTGATAGGCAGGCGCTTTTAACATTTGAGCCATACCTACATTTTTTGACTGGCACCTGGACTTAGGGTCTTGTATTTTCTGTCAGCTTATTTTGCTCCTGTTGCTGTACACTTGAGCTACAACTCCAGTCCAGGTTATTAGAATTCTGAATGTCTTATAAATGGTTTAGCCATGAATACATGGGGCAGGCATTGTTCCTGTCTGGCAAGGAATATCCTTCCGACCTAACTCTGCTTATATTTTAGGAAATCCGACCCTCACACTAAACTACATTCTATGTGTGCCAGAATTGAGGCTTGAACTCAGGGTCTCTCATCCTCCCTTAGCTTTTTCTCCCAACACTGGTGCTCTACTACTTGAGCCGCATCTCTACTTCTGGTTTTTGCTGTTAAGAGATGAGAATCTTGAGGATCTGTCTGTCCATATTGGTGTAAAACTGTAATCCTCAGATTTCAGTTTAGGATTATAGATGTTAAACCATGGCATTACGCTGAACCTACTTTTCACTGGCATTTTAGTTTTTATATAACTCATCTAGACAGAAAACCTAACTCTCAAGGTTTCTGTAAAGCTCCTAATATCTCAAAGCTGCTCCAATATCATTAAAGCTAATTTCATAAAGGGAATGCAAAGACTAGATAAATATTTGGAAGTGAGGAAACCCCAAAACCAAGGTAGCTCGAAGGTATACCTTGAGGTTTCCTCTCCCTCTCTCCCTCCCCTACTCTCCCTCTCTCTCTCTCCCTCTCGCCCTCTCCTGGCTTTCATGCTACAATGAAGCAAAAAGAGGCCTTTTGGCAAAACCGGGCAGTTTTATGCTGTGCTTAAACTGTAGATTCTGTCATTAAGAGCTAGAAGCATATTTCTGATCAAGTAAAGCAAAATACCCATAATCTGAATCCTTTAGTGGTCCTAACATTAAGTCTTATATAAAATGAATATCAGATCAAAGTTGTTTCATATAATTTTTATGAGTACAATTTAGACTAGCTACTTAAAAAAAAAAAAAAATCGAAGAATAGGAAAATCAGTTCCTTGTCTGACACCAGTTCCTCATTCCTCTAATCGTAGCTACTTGGAGGGATGTGATTTGAGGATTGTGGTTTGAAGCCAGCTTGGGCAATAAAGTCTATAACTGTTTATTTCCACTTCATCACCAAAAAAGCTAGATGTAGAGCTGTGGCTAAAGAGGTAGAGTGCAAGCTTTAAGCAAAAAAAAAAAAAGTCAGGGACAGCACACAGGCCTTGAGTTCAAGCTTCAATACTGGCAATATACGTGTGTGCAATGCGCGCACACGCGCACACACATACACACACACACACACACAAATCAGTACCTTTAAGGTAGTAAAGAATATTCGAGGAGCTTTAGTGTGATTGAAAAGGAAGGGCAGACTCATTTAGACTTTTAAAAATTTAAAAGGATGAAGCCCTGTTTATAGTTGAATGTGGGTTAAAATTGAGCCTTAAAAAAAATTTTTTTTTTTTTTTTTTAGCCGGGCGCTGGTGGCTCACACCTGTAATCCTAGCTACTCAGGAGGCTGAGATCTGAGGATCGCGGTTCAAAGCCAGCCCAGGCAGGAGAGACCGTGAGACTCCTATCTCCAATAAACCACCAGAAAACCGGAAGTGGCGCTGTAGCTCAAGTGGTAGAGTGCTGGCCTTGAGCTGAAGAGCTGAGGAACAGCGCCCAGGCCCAGAGTTCAAGCCCCACAACCGACAAAAAAAAAAAAAAAAAAAAAAAAAAAAAAAAATTTTTTTTTTTGGTGCCAGTCCTGGGGTCTGAACTCTGGGCCTGGGCGCTGTCCCTCAGCTCTTCAGCTCAAGGCTAGCACTCTACCACTTGAGCCACAGTACCACTTCCGGCTTTTTTCTTTTTGCTTATGTGGTGCTGAGGAATCGAACCCAGGGCCTCAGGCATGCAAGGCAAGCGCTCTACCACTGAGCCAACTTCCCAGCCCAATTTTGTTGAATTCTTGCCTGAAGGAGACTCCTAATTTGTTACCAGTGATGAAAAATGATAGGCAAGCTGACACTTCCTGCCCCTCCTGGCACTACCTGCTATGGTGCTTTTGTCTATGCTGTAATTTTTTAACAGTGCTTTGTAGTCCTGTCTCCCTATACATTATCCTACATCAAATAATAAGTTGAGAAGGTGTAACACTTCACTTACAAACTAGGAAATGGCTAAGTTCCAGAATCAATACTTGACCAGTATCCCAAGTAAGTGAAAAGATGTGAGCAAAACAGACTAATTCCATACTCAGTGTTTTCTGCTCAACGTCCACCTTCCTACAGGATTGGCAGACTCTCAGAGAGTTTTAACACACATATTTTAGCAATTTGTTGTTTTGCATGAAACAAATGCTGAGTGAGTCAGTGTTCTATACTGTTGTTCATATGCAGCAGGGTCTAGAACATAAGACTGGCTGACTGGCATTTGATGGTGGTTGTGGTTTTCTCATAGCTCTAACATTCTGGCTTGGATCATTTGGTATTTGCATGGTCCTCATGGAGAGTGCTGATTAGAGTATCACCCTAATCATTAGGTACAAAGAGGTCCAACAAGACTTCAGACTTCCAAAACAATTATTTTGTTTTTTGATTCTGCCAGTACTAAGGCTTGAATCCAGTGTTTCAAGTTCTCACTGAGCTTTTTTGGCTCAGCACTGTTATTCTACCACTTGAACCACACCTCCAGTTCCAGAATTTTGCTAGCTACTTGGAAGTAAGAGGATTAGTCTGCTCAAGCTAGCTTAGATCTCTGCCTCTCTTGAGTAGCTAGGATTATACACATAAGATACCAGTGTCCCACACAGTTGTTCAGATGACTTGCAGAATGCTTTCATGGCCAGATCATAGTTTCTTAAACTACAGAATAAATAGTAATAGTATTTTAATATGACCAAGATCATTGGAGGAATTTTCTACCTGTATGTGTGTTGGTAGGGAGAGAGAGGGAAATAAACTTAGGGCCTCAGATGGCCTGCACTGATTTGTAAACCCCTCTCCCACTTTCAGTTCAAAACAAATGGTAAATTACCTATTATCTGTTTTTGAGGTAATAGGCTTCTATTACTAATGTTTTTGATACAAACCCAGAGAGAGTAGTACAGGTCTTGATTAAGCACACATAATGGTATTAGGGCAGACGAACACTGAGCACAAATCTTTGAACAAAGGAGAATTTAGTCAAGTATGATTTTTCACTGCATTGAGTTCAGAGTATCAATAATAGCTTTGTTAAGTAGAAACTCATAAAATTCACCATGTATTATCAACAGATTAGACTACCTATTTTATAGTAGTTGCCTCCAGGCACATGTTTTGCACTGAGTGTACAATATTACAGTGACTAATTTTACTCAAGACTATAAAGGAAATAATACTCCTATTCAAAATTGTAAACTATAAAATCTAATAAGTGTTTTAAAATAGCTTTAGTATAATTATAAAAAGAAAAGTACAATGTCCTAAAGTATCTTTGGCTTTCTTATTATTATTCTGCAAAGGATTTGCTGTAAGTCTTCAAGTCATCTTATCCAATCCAAAAGCTGTATTTACGCGTCGTGGATCCCAGCCAGGGATGCAAGAATCTGACTTCCTAAAACAGATCACAACAGTTGAAGAACTGGAACCCAAAGCAAGTAACTGCACCAAGGTACTCATTGCACTCAGGTTGCCAACTTTGAGTTTCAGCGTTACAAGTGTGGCTACTCAACATATTTCCTTCCACTTTAGGTTCTTGTGTGGCATACTCGGACAGAGAAGGTTAATCTAGCCAATGAGCCAAAGTACCTCGTGGACACAGTGAAAATTGAGGTATAAATGGAAACACCAGATGGTGCAGTTTGCCCAGTCAAGGGGTGTGGAAGAGGATATTCGGAGTTCAGGCTGCAGATCATTCAGGTATTGTTTCTTTTACTTCATTCAATACAACAACTTTTACTGTCATCTGATGGGACTTCTATTTTAACAGAAGCTAACTGGATGCTACAAAATGTATGTTCTATCTTCACTTGTTCTGCATGTTTTATCTACACCCTAATGAAGATTTCTGTACAGTAAGCTAAGTGACAGTGCAAGATACTACTGAGTACCTTACACACTTGTTCATCTTTTCCATTTGGCTTTGTAATTAGTAGAACTGAACAGGTTTTAGAACCTGATGACAGGTATTTTGTCAAGTAAACATCCCTAGTTCTCTACTTCATACCATTTGGAAGGCTGGTGGCAGGTATACAATGTAGAAATAAAATCCACAAAAAAGTTAATGGATTCACCTGTTTAATATAGGGAAATAACATTTTGTCAATACTAGGCACCATAAAATGTAAACACAATTACTGTCATAAACCTGGATATACTTTCAAGGATGAAAAGTGGCTTTGTTTTAGTTACCCTGTTTGTATATAGTGCAGCAAAGGTCTTAGTGTTAGCACTATGTACATATGAAGAGATCCAAATTATGAGAGGCAGGTAAAATTTGAATTCTTATGCTTAAGGTTTACAGTAACATCCAGGTTTATCTTTTCACTAACCACGTTCCCTGAAAAGCACATCATAACAACAGCACGGTGAAGTGAATGATGCAATAAAAGAATCTTGATACACTAGAAAACAGTGCTCAGTGATACATTTACATTCTATTTATATGATTAAACATTTGATCATACAGTACCTTCCTACAGGATTACTGGCTAATTTGGGGGTGGGGTTATACTGTTAGAGGTATTACTAACATGATAACTACTTCCCTTATATGCAAACATTAGCGCTATAATTTTATCGACAGCAAAACTGATTATATAAGTTGACTGAGCAGCTTCTCAAATAATATGGTTTTATGAAATCATGGGGAATAGGAGCAAAGCTGCCCTTGACATAAAGTGGATTCTTAACCTGCTTTGCACCACAAAAATTTAATCAGTACAGACCAACACGGTCAATCAGGTAATTCTTAATATGAACAAGTGGGGGGAAAGAAAACCAATATATATGTACATGAATGAATAGGGGAACTAGATGCTTTTAGCAAGGAATGTCAGATGTTAGTTTTGGATGAGACTTGCTCTGCAGTTCTCATTTCCACAGCTGTGTGCTTAGAGTCTGACCCGATGAGCTTCCAGACCATCCTGCTGTTGTGCTGGGAGGCTGGCCAAAGCCTGCTGCTGGACTCCCACTATTGAGACTCACGCCAGCCATTTGCTGATTCATCTGTGAAACACATGAAAGGTTCAGTTTAAGAGATTTTGTTTCTTTAGCCATAGTTCAGTATCTTTTCATTAATGTGAAAATAAAGTATTTGGGTAAAAAACAGAGTGACAACAAGTATCTCTTTAAGGAAAGCAAGTAACTATTTGCTCTCATCTTTTCTGCCAATTTTTTTTAGCAGTGTTCATAAAATAATCTCAATTACATTTATTCACTTTCAATATTCAATTTCTTATCTCCAAAGATGAACCACAACTGAAAAAAGGTACCAAAGTAATCTCTGAATTTGCATCTGGTCTATATAGAGTTCACTCTTTCAACTACACTAGAAAATCTGTGCTAAGAAGTGGGAAGATTTTAGAGAGTAAAATATGCTAACATTATTATGTAAATTTATATGATGGATAGAATTTTCTATTAAAATATGAAATGGCTCTATATTTTCTAAAAATCGAAAGTCATAAAGTATACTTGCATTCAGACAACATAAACAGCTAAAACTAATTTTATGCTATTCTATATAAATATTTTTCTTCTAGATTGTAGTCAAGTAAAATTTTAAGTCTCTTAACTCTGTCATTCTCTGACTTTCAAGTAAGCAACAGTAATTCACCTGTAATCCTAGCTAGCATAAGGCTTAGATCTGATGATTCCAGTTCAAAGTCAGCTCAGGCAGGAAAGTCCATGAGACTCCAATTGCCAATTAACCAGCAAAAAGCCAGAAGCAAAGGTATATATTTCAAGTAGTAGAGCGCCAGTCTTAGGCAAAAAAAGCCAAGTAAGAATGTAAAAAACAAAAAAGTACAGATGTGAAAGACTGTCTTCATTTGCAGTTTTTCTAAGACAATAATATTGACTGCAAATCTAAGTACCTGAAGGGGTATGACAAGTTGTTACTCATGGAAATTTCCACCAACCTGTAATTGGCAGTGGATATTGCTGGTAAACAGTACCCCTTGGAATAATCTGGACAGCTTTTTTATTTTTGTCCTGGGGCTTGAACTCAGGGCCTGGGCACTGTCTCTCTCTCTCTTTTTTTTTTCCTTTCAAGGCTAATGCTCTACCATTTGAGCCACAGAACTACTTCTAGCTTTTTCTGAGTAGTTTATTAGAGATTAAGAGACTCACAGACTGTGCTGCCTGCCTGGGCTGACTTTGAACTGTGATCCTTAGATCTGTCTCCTGAGTAGCTAGGATTACAGGTGTGAGCCACCAGCTTCCAGGTGGAATACAGTTTTGATCCCTCACAAACTTGTGGTTTCAGAATACGATGCTAGATTTGTGGGCTGCCAGAAAAAAAAGACCCCCAAATTATTAGTGAAGGTAGAGTGGTATGAGTAGACTAAGTTGGGCAAGTATGAACTATTCAAATTCACTTTAACCAGAACTGGGTTGTACTCAGTATTTGGGCCATGTAAAGCCAACTGTTAACATCTGACCCTTAAATGTTGAGATCCTCAGTGGGTAGACACCAGTGTCACACCCATATTCCTGGAAAGCATGATTATAAAAATTAAATTGCAGCATTTACGGGAATGTACAGTGATTACTCTAGAAATCACTCTACACTGTTTCCCTGAATGTTCTCATATGATTGGTCCTACTAATTATATGGATGCCAAGACCAACAAGGCATAGAACATCTAACAGAAAAGTGAGTAAGAAAATGAACTTGTGACTAAGAGTCCTTGTCTATGGATCTAAAGAAAAGTGAGAACAGAGCAGTTGACATAGGAAATGTTATCTCTTAGCTTTAAACTAAGCTTAGGTAAAAACAGAATTTCATATATGAGGGGATGCTTGAGATAAATATGGACTTGTTGTACACAGTTTATATAGAATTCTTAAGCCAATAGATACTCCTTAATATAAGTCATTATAGGATATATAAAAAGGAAATACAATTTTGAAGAGGTTTGTTCCTCAATATGGGATCTGAATTCAGGACATGGAAATTACTAGGAAGGTGCATTCTACCATTTGAGCCATGCCATATCCTTTTTTGCTTTATTTTTTTTCTACTAGGGCTTTCTTGGGTTTTCACCTTGGCAGGCATAGACTTTTATTGGATAAGACGTGGTCTCTCGAACCTTGATCCTCTTCCACTTCACCACTCAAGTAGCTAGAATTACAATTATTAGTCACTCTTTCTGTTTTTAATGGGTATGGTGTGTGTGTGTGTGTGTGTCTGCCCATGCACACCCATAAGAGGACTTGAACTGAGGGATTTGAGCTGTCACTTGGCTTGGACATGGCTGGTGCTCTATCACTCAAGCCACACCTCCAGTTCAACATTTTGCTGGTTAATTAGAGATGAAGTCTTATAGACTTTTCAGCCCAAGCTGGCTTCAAAAAGTGATTCTCAGATCTCAGCTTCCAGAAGTTACAGGAGTGAACCACCAGTGCCCAGTTTAAAGAGGATTTTGTTTTGTTTTGTGCTGATCCTGGGTCTTGAACTCAGGGCCTGATGCTATTCCAGAGATTTTTTTTTGCTGGTGCTCTACCACTTGAACCACAGCTCCCCATCTGACTTTTTGGTAGTTAACTGGAGATAAGAATCTCACAGTTTCTTGCTTGGGCTAGCTTTATACCACGATCCACAGATCTTAGCCTCCTGAGTAGCTACGACTATGAAGCTCCCAGCACCCAGCAGCTTAAATAATTTTTGAACAAAGAGTTTGCAAATACGTGGACATTAAGTATATAACATGGAAGATAGTCTTGACTCCCCATAGCATTGTACTTTGACAATGAATATAGGCCGGGCATTTTCTGATTTATAAATTTCCAAATTAAGTACATAAAAATTATTAATAAAGATAGATTTGGACTACATGGACTACAAAATGCCCTACCAGAAAGCTGGGTAAAGCTTGATGCTACCTTCCTGTGGCAGACCAGGGTATCTCTCATGATGCCCAAGATAACTTCTATTATTAATAAGTTAAATATGTTCATCTTTACAGTTTGGTAGTCTAAAATGGAAAAAAAAAGCCTAACATTTATTTATAGAATACACTAAAAGGACACAGACAAATAATTTGTCCATTTCATTAAAAAACTCCTAATATTCAGACATTTCTGATCTGATACATTATCCCTACTAGATCATTACATTTCAACCAATCAACCAACTAACCAGCCAATCAATAAAACCACTTATATTTTTTTTATTTGGGAGGAGCTGGAAAGTAAATGAGCCCTACCTGTGAGAGGCTCCACTGAGGCTGTTGTGCTTGTGGTAGGCCAAACTTACTCTGGGGTGCACCCATCTGTCCCACTATTCCTCCTTGGGGGCCAATGACATTTTGAGAAAGTGGCATCACACCAGTTTGTGCATTTCCCATAAAACCATTGGGCATGGGCATGCCCACCATCATGCCTGTGTTCTGTCCCATGACATTTCCTATAAGGCCAGAAGCTGCAGGTACAGGTACACCCATTGATGGAAAACCTTGAAATGCAGTTGGTGCTTGTGAGGTAAATGGTATATTTGTGGGTCCCATAAACACACCTGTATTACAAGAAACAAGATTTAAACAAAGGAATACAGAAATCAGAACTATTACATATAGCTACACTCACCTCTACACACACAAAGGATTGTCATCTTCCTGACCTACAAACTTTCACTGCAGTCTAGTTGCTCTACTGCTGAGAATTTATACTGTGCTGGTAATTTCCAGAAATTAATCAATTATTGATCTGAACACATTTAAGAAGAAAATGTAAATTAATCAATTATTGATCTGAACATATTTAAGAAGAAAATGTAAATCTTAGGCAACAGCCAGACAATGTATCTTCATTGTGAAGACCAAACTCTATGGGGCACGATAGCACAGGCTGTTCTGCTGACTTGCACCATGGAGTTACTACAACTATAGTTGGCTTTCTATGTGGAAGTAACTGGATTGTCATGATTTCAATGGAATAACACTGAATAAATATTCTGCATTTTTCATTAAAATAACAAAGCATTTGTAAGTTTCTGGAATTTATGTGCTAAATCAGACTGTTTATTAAACTATCAAGGAAATATACTGTACAAACAATGTAGAGCAAATTTTACTAATTCTTGAAAGATATCAATGTTCTTTAAGCTTGTGAAACAATATTTAAGAAGTGGTATGTGAATGAATAAAGTTTTGTGAATCCTGTACCTGCTGCTTTTTAATTCTAACGCTTCATTCATTTCAGTTTTATAGTTATATAAACTGCAACAGAAATATGCACTATACCACAGGAAAGTAGAGAATAAATGTAAGCGATACTCCAGTCACACAGAATGTACTTCTAATAATGTCATTGCAACTCACTGAAAGGTTTCAAAATTAATTACCAGGAGTGCTTTGCTGTTGAATAGTTCCCGTACCATACAGAGATAAGATGGAATCTTTGGAGAGTTGTTTTTTTGCTACTTCTTCTGATTTTGTAGTTTGTTCAGTGAACAGATCCAGATCCCCAGATGTCACTGTAGATAAGGGAGCAGTTGCTGGTACAGAGGATGCCCCCTGAGACAAACATCAAAACAAAGCTATTGAATTCTTTATAGTGCACCATAACTGATCTACTACTTAAATCCAGACAGTTATGAAATTAGGCAGGAATTAATTCCAAGAGGCCTCCACAAAAACATCTAGAATAAAATGTTTCTTAATTTGAATTTGCAACTGTAAAGATGGGAGACAAGTTCTTTCATAATAAAATTATTTAGCAGCTGGGGAGATGTGGTTTGCTCATCTCATCTTGAACAGAAAACAACAGTTTGGTGGATGGTCTTTCAAGACCACCCCTATTGCTTCAAGGAACTTGTATTCCTTGGAATGAATCTCTACAACTACTAGACCACAGGAGGGTTTCACAATGGTTAATTAAAGTTTTTTACCTTTACAAAAGCTACATCATAAGCTTTTTATATATGTAATTTTAAGTCCTTAAAACACCAGAATGTTCCTAGCCCAAAAATGATATAGAGAAACTGTGATCACCTGTACACCGTATCAAACACTCCATGTAGAAGCCAATGAATACTTGTGCACAGATATTTAACATAATGCGGTATTTTCACTAATCTATATCATGCACATATTTAGTACTGAACAGTTCTAACTGAAAATCTTGCTTTATGATCTCTGTGGTCATTACATATTAATCATATTTAAATGTGTATATGGACTTAATTTAAATATCAATACTAAAGCTGGTTAGGATTCTTCTCAAGTGTTTAATGTTTAATGCCCTGGCTAGAATACCATGGAAAACTGCCCAAACATTCAACTTATAAAGTAATTTAAGCAGAATAATATGAAGAAAATTATGTGAGCCAGTGGCTTACATCTGCAATCTTAGCTACTCAGAAAGCTGAGCATGAAGGATGTCTGTTCAAGGTTTGCACAAGTCTATCTCCAATTAGCAAGCAAAAAGCCAGGCTGGAGGTGTGGCTCAAGTAATAGACCTCTGGCCAAGCAAGGAAGAGTTTGCTCTGAATTCAAAACCCCAGTGGGGTACGGCTCTAAGACAGGGTCTTAAAACGCCATCTTAGTTTGCAAAAACTGAAATGTGTACAAAATATGATGAAATGCCAACTGCATCAATGTCCTTGAATCCAAGTATACCGTAGCTAGTAAAGATTACAGAAGTTGGGGCTGGGAATGTGGCTCAGTGGTAGAGCGCTTGCCTTGCATGCCCGAGGCCCTGGGTTCCATTCCTCAGCACCACATAAGCAAAAAGAAAAAAGCCGGAAGTGGCGCTGTGGCTCAAGTGGTAGAGCGTTAGCCTTGAGCTGAAGAGCTGAGGGACAGCGCCCAGGCCCAGAGTTCAAGCCCCACGACCGGACCCCCCCCCCAAAAAAAGATTACAGAAGCTAACAGCATGGGCCTGAACCAGCCTGAGAGGCCTAGAACCCTAGCTTTAATCAGTGTGCTTTTGGATGTGGCACTTCTCTCATAAAATAGAGATATGCTTGATAACTATGTAAAAGTATTTTTAGCTACTCAGAATAAATGTTAAAAAAAACTATCTTTTCATCATGGTTCTATTTAACACCACGGGGTCTATTCTGTGGGTAGTAAGTTATCACAGAAAAACTCTCAAGAGTAGGGAACTATAATCCTGGTCTCATCATGGAGCAGCCTAATAGTCACATGATCTAAACATGGTGTAAGTGTCTTCTGCTAAAGGTAGGTAATATGGATATCTACAAGGACAGAGTCTAGAAGTGGCCAACTAAACAACATAAAAGGACTCAAAACATGTTTGTTTTTTTATGTTTCACTTGCCACCATTACAACGCCAGAATAAAATACTGTTTACCTGTTGCTTTATATTTCAGGAAGCTGCAATGTCTCTAACCAAACACTCACTGGCCTTTTGGGACTCCAAGGCTAAACCAAGGTCAGGCATTTCAGAGCACTTGAGCAAGTCTAAATACTGTCATGTATACCTACATACACATACAACCATCAACAGAACAGGAAAAGGAATTTCTGTATTGCCACAGGGGCTCTGGAATGGTCCATGCTCCCAGTCCTCCAAATACACGTATATTCCTGTCAGCTGAGTATTTCCAGGCTCAGGTAAAGTAGACGGTAAATGCAATCTATAGTCCATGTGGTAAAATCTTTTATTAGAATTTATACATGCGTGGTTGGGGAGTGAGAGAGTGAAAGAATAGGGTTCTGAGTAACTCAGAATCTTGTTGTACAAATAAACTAGTTTTAAACTCAATTTCCTATATAATAACCTCCCCTCCCCACAAATTAATGATTTGCACAGTACCAGCACAAATATACACATGTGTTTATAATCTGTATTCCATTTCAAAGGCATTATTTTGAAAATTTACCTAAATTTTAATCTTTACATTAAAGTTAAAGGTACCTCTTCATAAAATATTTCATAGGACTCAACACAATTTTGGTCTACAAAAACATTTCAACGTTCCAAGGAATTAGATTTGCCTTAAAAAGTCAACCTACTGTATCAATGAGAATACCTGAAGGCCAGCCTTGCTCCCAGACCTCCACCAGGATTCCTGCTCCTGATTCATGGCACTACTGTACTTCAGCTTTAAAGAAGTCTTCACTGGTCTACTTGCTGCGCTGATACTGAGCACATATGAACTACAATGAAGACTCAGCAGTTGGGTCTGATCCTCTAACAATTGCAAACAATCCTCAGACCCCAGTGGAATCCAACAGATGTAACTGCCTCACTACAATGCTAGACTGAAATATTTTCATGATCAGATTTTCAAATAACCTAAACATTTCCTTCCAAAGTCACAAGATTTGACAATCCTACCTTCCTTCCTTTTCTTCCCTCTCTCCCTCCCTCCTCCCCCCCTCCTTCCTCTTCTCTTCTTTTTTTTTGTGCCAGTATTGGGACTTGAACTCAGGACCTAAGCGTTGTCCCTTTGCCTTTTCACTCTAAACTAGCACTCTATCATTTGAGCCACAGCTTCATTTCTGGCTTTTTGGTGGTTAACTGGAGACAGAAGTCTCAAGGGCTTTACTGCCTGGGCTGGTTTCCAACTGGAATTCGCACATCTTAGCCTGTTGAGTACAGGCGCTCATTAGCCACCATTGCCCAGCTAGAAAACCTGTATCTCCATCTATTCACAAAGTAAATCATGTTACTTGAAACAACAGTAAAAAAAAAAAAAAAACAAAAAACAATCCCTTGCTCTCCATGTGTGTTGCAATGATGCGGAAAAAGGGCAAAGCTACCTTCCTGAAACTAATATTGCTGCATGTAATTTTGATAAAGATCCATTTAAATTAAGAAATGTAATGATTTAAATCTTAGTAGGAAGAACACAATATCATAACAAAAATATGTGCAATAACATATTACTTATCTTCTAAGACAGACTTTTTCTTATTAAAACTTTTCCAACCATACAAAACTTCCTTTTCTGTAGGCAAAAAAGTAATTTATCTTTCTATCTTAAAACAAACTGTATGTGCAAAGTTAAAATACGATATATAGAATCTTAATGTACAATTAAGAGTAACTTGTATCCTGAAAGTTCATATATTACATCTGAAATTTCATGTAATGTTAATTAGGCAATTCAAAATTTCTTTACCATTAACACTTCTTAAAAACCTTAAGATTAAACTACACACACATATATAACACACACACACACAATAGCAATAAAAAGTTTAACTTAAAATATAACTTACTTTTAGAAAAAAAGACTGGGTGCTAAATTTGCTAGAGATTCTTATTCCCATGAAAACATATACAGTTTAGAAACTTCCAAAGTAAATAAATGACCTTATTGACTTTAAGTCAGGTTGAAGTAGCAATTCTAAACTGTTTCCCTAAAGCAAGTGCTAGAGCTTTTAAGAGAACAAAGTTTGGATACAGAAGCATGGCTCAAGTGGTAAAATGCTTGAGGCTCTGAGTTCAAAGCTCAATACCACACACAAAAAAGGGGTGAAGGAAGATAGACAATAAAGTTTATGCCTCTATAGTTTCTACAGTTTCGGATGTGCTTCTATAGCAGCCAAAAACAATGTAAATCAATAACGACGACTATATTTAAGTGAAATTTTATATGTAAAATCAAGCTATAGGCTTAGCTTTCCAAGTCAATGACAAGTAGGCTTTGAAGTCACAGATTACTCAGAAACAATTATTTCTAAATTAAACTGCTGAAACTTTTCAAAAAGGAATGTGTGGCAGTCATATAAAACCCCATTTATCACCTACCTGAGCTGGGGGCATGACAGTTGCAGGTAAGGGATTAGAAATCATTGGTCCAAAGATATCCAGATCATCAGTTAGGGCTGGCACTGTGGTCACGTTCCCATTGGTCACTGGAGCCTCAGCAGGGCCATCTGTGAAAATATAGATGCTTGTGTTGATAATGTCTTGAATTACATAAAAACATTATTTTTAAATTATGAGGTTTAAAAACAGAACAACTCAGCCAGGCACTGGTAGCTCACACCTGCAATCCTAGCTACTCAGGAAGCTGAGATCTGAATATCAGTTTAAAGCCCGCCCAGGCAGGAAAGTCCATGAGACTCTTATCTCCCACAAACTACTCAGAAAAAGCCGAATTGGTGCTGTGGATCACATGGTAGAGCACTAGCCTTGAGCACAAAGAGGCTCATGGACAACACTCAGATCCTGAGTTCAAGCCCTAGAACCTGGGGTTGGAGAAGGCAGGAACCACCAAAAACAGAACAACTAAAAAATCCTCTATCTATCAGGATATATGCCTATTCCCAAAGAAATGAACTTTCAGTTTTATTTTCTCAGGATATTCTTTATCTGCTAGCTTCTAGAAATAAGCAAACCCCTTTTAACAAATGTTATAGTATTTGACATTGTTCTGCATATTGATTTTTGAAATACACTCATTTTTACCTACTCTGGAAATACAATTTGAAAGTTTAGTATGTCTGACATGTATTTTAGACACAATGAAGAAATATACTGACTAGAAAAAAAAAAGCCAAACGGTACTTAAATTGATTCTATAGTAAACACTTAAAAATCTCTGAAAATACAACCTTTAGGATTTTCCAAAACATCTATTTTTCTAATACAGAATTATACAGATACACACTGACAGTTTCTTTTTCCCTAGTAAAAAATTTAATTTTAATAACGCAAAAAGAAGTATATCTCATTTTGTGTATCTCCTTTTAAAAAGTGCCAAAAAATAGAGAGATTTGCAAGTTGAAAAAGAAGTGGTAGGAATGAACTGAGTTGGGTGGGCTGAATTGTGTGAAATGAGTTGAATGAATTGAAAATGAGTTGCATGGACTGAGTTGAGCAAAATGAGTAGAGTGACTTGGGTTGAATGAACTGACTTAATGAACTGAGTCGAGCGGACAATTTCCAAGTGCAAGCAAGGTTCCAGGGAGCTTGATAGTCTAGTCAGCCTTTTATTTTTAACAATTTTCAAAATCATCTGACCTCTCTTTCAGACCATACCCTTCTCAAATGTAAACCAAAAAAAATATTTAACAAGTCTTTCAACATTTAACTGGTACAAAGCCAGAACTCAAATATTTGGCAAATTTTAATGGAAAGTCTTCTATTTACTGTCTCTTTTCACCACAAACCAAAGACAGTCATTGTTTTCTTCTCTTTCTATTGTTTTCCTATTGAAGCTTAAGTGAATTACTAAAAGTAAATCATTAACTTATGAATAAATAGCACATTCGTTTTTACAATCTATATATAGGTGTGTGAAACCCAAATAAGGTTAATTTGGAAAATAATAACTACAAGTATTTTTCAAGTTATCTTCAGTGATAGCACATTATCAAAAACCATAAAAAGAAACATGTATTTACACGTGTTATAAATAACAAAGTTAACTCATTTTATCAACTCATTCCCCTCAAAATCAGTTCATTCCCACCCCTTCTACTTACACCTTGGAAATTGCTAATTCACTGATGAAAATATACAAACAAAACATTAAGAGAATTAAAATGATTTATATATGAAAGTAATTTTTTTATTTCTAATTCTTTTAAGTAACATTCATTTTGAAGCTAGATCTCTTTAAAGAACTTGTTTTCTGTTTTACTCCAAATACTAACCATAAATAAAGGAGTATTTTAAAAGGACAGAGTAGATTTAAATATACAACTGAACATTTTTTCACATTTCAGTAAATAATGTGAATAAGCAGAGTTGGGAATGAGAACAACCTCATCAACTACAAATAGCACATTATATTTTAGCAGACCTACTGTGTTTACTTAGAAGTTAGTTATGCTTAGCAAATACATGAAAGTATTTATATCAGTAACAATTAAAAGCTCAGAAGAATATTGTTTTGTTGTTGTTTTGTGCTAGTCCTACGGCCTGAATTCAGGGCCTACTATGCACTATCCTCAAGAATATTTTGCAAAAGGCTAACGTTGTGCCACTTAAACCACAGCTCTACTTCTGTCTTTTCGTTGATCAATTGGAGTTAAGAATCTCACAGATGTTTTCTGCCCAGGCTGGCTTCAAATCACAATCCCCCTAGCTCAGCCTCTGGAATAGCTAGGATTATAGACATGAGCTACCTGCACCCAGCAGCTGTTGCATTATAGTTTAATGTGTACATATAAATGTCCAGTGTTCTTGATCAGTCACCTCTTCATTATTTGGCTTTTGAAATCACATTTTACTACTCCTCACAGCCTTTAGGAGTATAAACATGACTGCTAGAATGCCTACTGTCATGGCCCTAGAGCAAAGCTTGAATTATGATCATTAAGTTTTTAATACAAAAGTGATGCATGCTCGTAAAAATTTGAAGGTATGCAAAAATGAAGAAACTGGAAGTCCATCATGGGGATGGTGACTGTTGCAGAACAGATGTATTTAATACCACTGCCTGTGCACTTAGGAATGGTAAATTTTATGCTATCTGTATTTTATCATGATTTTTTACAAAGGTATATGACCATACAAAAATTTTTATATAAAATGATAGACCATGGGGATGGGAAAACTACATCCTATTACTGAATGAACTTATTACAACTTAATCAACTAATGATTAATGGACATTGCAAGTTCTAGATTTTCACTCTGACAAGAACAGAACCACGACCATCTATGTTCCTTAATGTAAATTATACAAAACAACTCATGTCCTTACTCTGAAAATTACTGACTTCTATTTCACTAGCATGTCAAAAACAAGGTCCACTCTCTCACTTTTTAATTGCATTTTAAAACTGGCCTCCTGAACTCTCAGGTTCTTCACATAAAGTAGGCCCCTGAAGTAAAATTCTTTCCTGACAGGCCTAATCAGTATTTTCTTCTAACCAGATATCTTGCCATGAGAACCAAAGACTCCTCTATTCTCATACCAGTACCAGACTTACCCTTTTCTCTATACTTTAGTCTTTCCTGCTTATATGACCATAATGATGGGTTCTAGATTTCACTACCATCAATTTTCCTTGTTACTGCAAAAGCCATACCCCTACACAGCATCTAAATTAAAACTTTTCAGCCTAACAAAATTAATAAATACAAGTTCCCAATGGGCTCCAATATTTGTCAATTTTACTGTTTGATTTGACTTACAAAATACATTTCTTTAAAAGGATTGTTTTATTTTTAAAAACTTGGTTTTTAGCTTTCAATATTTCAAAAAGATAAAGAATCATTATCCATTACCATCACTTTTATCCTAGATGTTTTAAAGTTTATATTATCATTTTTATTGCATGAAAGATGAGATCCCTTTTTATCTTCAGTTACAGAAACTAGTTCAGAAAGAAACTGAAATATTTCAATGTACCTCAGCTAGTTAAGTAGGAAAGCTTGTACTACAATGGAGTCTTCTGACCTGGGGAGCTAGGGCTGTTTTCTTTAAATTATTTTCATCAAAAGCCATGAATTTACAAGTATACCTCACTACAAAGAAATAACTTAAAATCTGAAAATTAAAAACCAACTTTTAAATAATTTGTAATTATTTGAATTAAATTTGCAAAGCAAGAATTGAATGGTTTGAAACTTTTTTGAGGCTGCACTCAAACACTTCCTCATCACGTCCATTACTCTGTTGTCCCCCTGTACCGAGCCCAACATCTTACCAATTTATAGGGAGGAATACAGGTAGAGGTGGGCTGAGCACAAAGCTGGGATACAATATATACTCAGCTACTGAAGAGTACTTCAAACCCATTGGCAAAAGAATGAATTCATCTAATCAAGGGCCCAGTAATAGCACATTCTTTCCTGACTGGAAAAAAAAACAAATAAACTCAATAGAGCACAAAAGCACCTGGACACCAAAATACTACCTACAGTTCTCAGAAAGGTAGTTTAAGTTAGAAAGGCCAGGTGCCAGTGGCTCATACCTGTAATCCTAGCTACTAAGGAGACTGAGATCTGAGGATCACAGTTCAACGCCAGCCCGCGAAGGAAAGTCCATGAGTCTCTTATCTCCAATAAACTACCACAAAACCAGAAGTGGTGCTATGGCTCAAGTGGTAGAGAACTAGCCTGGAGCTGAAGAGCTGTGGGACAGCTCCCAGGCCCAGAGTTAAAGCCCCATGACAGACAAAAAAAAAAAAAAGAAGAACAGGGCTTGTACAAATGAAGTGGTTTAAATAGTGCATATCACCATAATTTAACATTTTTATTTGTAATGGTTTAGGTTATGCCTTGCTTATGTGCACACGCGCGCACACGCACGCACGTGCACGTACACACACACAAAAACCCGGACAAACAAAACTTCTTTTAACCATAAGTGCATTCTATGAGATAATGAGAATATCTGTGCATACAAGTAATGGAATTCACCACACTTTGTTCAGTTAAAGAACAGTTGTAGGAAGTCAGTAGCAAGAGAAGGCTCCCTTTCATTAGTATGGAGAAACAGTAGTGAGAGTGGGAGTAGTGACAGTGGGAGATTAGAGTAGAAGAAAAGTCTTAAGGCAATTGGAAGAAGTTTATTGTAAAGAAGCACAAAAGACTCCTTGAAAAGGAATGAGAAAACAGGAGAAATTATAATAATGCAGTAAAATGAAGAAATGATTTTGATCTTAAGGGCATGATATCAAACCTACAATTAGTAGCTAGTGGGTAATATTTCAGATTAGTGTTTTCTATTATGATAGATGAGTGCTTATTTTAAACTGTCCACATAACAGAAATTGACAAGAAAGGCTAAAATGTTTTAAGCTATAGGAATGTTTTTAAATCAATGTTAGATCTTACACAAACATTAAGGTGTAACCAGCACACATTATTAACGCATTTCACATCATTATGAGAACATTTCAAATAAGACAAAGTCTTGATGCCAATCACTATCACTTAGAAGTCCTTACTACAATGAGTGAGGTTGTCAATTCTG